CTTACAGAGGAAAGATTCTTATTCCACTTCCCCATGGATATAAAAGGAAAAGTAATAAGACCAAGAACTATTAAGATAAAATCAAAGAAAACTCAGATGAGTGTGTATAAATAAATGTGTACATGTATGTGTAGTGTGACCTAAGTGTATATATATTACATACATATATATCTATACAGTTCTATGCAGTTTGGAGGGATATGATGTGTATCTTTATACGTATATGCTTCTAAACTGTTGTATTCTGAGCACCTCTGCAAAAGCAGTGATAATGTGCGAGTGTGGTGAAAGTGTTGAATGATGATGAAAGTATTTTCTTTTTGGGGATTTTCTTTCTTTTTTGGGTCACCCTGCCTCGGTGGGAGACGACCGACTTGTTGAAAAAAAAAAAAAAAAAAAAAAAAAATAATATATATATATATATATTATATATATATATATATATATATATATATTATACATTTTTTTTTCTACAAACCGGCCGTATCCCACCAAGGCAGGGTGGCCAAAAAGAAAAACAAAAGTTTCTCTCTTTAAATTTGGTAATTTATGCAGGAGAAAGGGTTACTAACCCCCTTGCTCCCGACATATATATATATATATACATGCATATATACATATATGCATATATACACCCTGCCTCGGTGGGAGACGGCCGACTTGTTGAAAAAAAAAAAAAATATATACATATATAGATATATACATCTTTCTTCTTTCAACACACCGGCCATATCCCACCAAGGCAGGGTGGCCCAAAAAGAAAAGCGAAAGTTTCTCTTTTAAATTTAGTAATTTATACGGGAGAAGGGGTTACTAGCCCCTTGCTCCCGGCATTTTGTCGCCTCTTACAACACGCATGGCTTACGGAGGAAGAGTTCTGTTCCACTTCCCCATGGAGAATATATATATATACATATATATGTATGTATATACATACGTATATACATACATAGATGGGAATAATTTAATTACCAATTCAACCGAGCCTTAGAATAGAATTTTCATATTTCCCCCTAACAAAAAATTTCTAAAGTATGTGGCTACTGCATGCATGCATGAAGATACAGGTTTCATGCAAAAGGCAAGCATGGGACAGATAAAGTGCCAGAGTATTTGTTCAAGCACCTTCCTTGGTGCTGGATCTTCAATATTAAACATGAAAAATATATTCTCATAATACAGTTTATATACTCAAGTTCCAATGAAGGTAAATATTTAAAAAACTTACTGCATATAAATAAATGCAAACAGAAAAGAACATTAGCATATTTTTATATAGAAATGTAGCACTACAATGAAAAAATATTTTTCTGTTTAAATGAAAGAATCTGTGTGTATTAATATTTTTACACAAATAATAAACAAAAATAGCAAGTGTAAGGTATGACTGAACTATAGTGATGGAAGAATATTACATTGATGATTGTAATCAGTGCCAGGTTCTCCTACATGTACAGTACTGTACTGTAATCTGGAAGGCAATCAACAAAATAATGCAGCTGCACCTTTTAAAAACCTAAATTATTAACTGCAAAATGAGCTGTTTAACTTAACATTTATGGCAGCTGATACCAGGGGTTTACACATAAAATGACTAATACAAGTATCAAATATTAACACAGTAATATTACCATCAGTTGGTATTTTCTAGCTTTAGAATAAATGATTAATGGAGCAATTATGTCACCCTTAAAATCAATTGCCATTAAAGTATTGCTCAACTGTTGCAACAAAGTATATAAAAAGCCTGCAATGCAAATGTATGAGATGCAAAAGATAGTGTAGAGAATAAACAGCAGGTAATACAGAACCATTGCTTCTTTCCTGAGGTAAAGTCAATCAACTAAACTACTCTCCGCTCCACTAAATATAACCTCTATACACTGTACACAGACATTTTCATAATATATACTGTATTTGTAATGAATTATTTGTAGCTACAGCAGCACAGATTACCTTCTAGTATCCCACTTTCAATATTCAATCCAACAGAATTTTTTCCAGTGTTAAATCTGCTTTACCACCTCCTCTTGTACCCTCCTCTAGTAACCTACTGTTTGCAAAGAACTTTCTAATAGACTTCTTGCATTTCTTTATTTTGTAGCTTTTTCAAGACAATATCAAACAAGCCAAGCTGCCCTAATAAGATCTTTTCAAAAAATAATTTAATACACTGTTTGCTGGTTTTTGCCACATTTACCATTGCCCACCAAAATAGAGCAATATTTTTTGAGAATTAATATATTACATACATATATATGTATTTTTAATTGTGCACTAAAATTAAGGAACCAAACCAAACTTTATTAGAATTGTCATATAATTTAACTTAATCTTACCCAAACCTTTTTAGATCAGCTTAAATGAGAGAAGGAAAAAAGGAAGAGATTTTCAAAATATCACCAGAGGAAGAGTTTCTCAAAATATCACCAAAAGATGTTCACAAAAATGTAAGAAAACCAGTATGAAGAACTCAACCTTCAAAATAGTCTTTATAAAATAGGCTCTAAAAATATTAATGGAAAAAACTATTCTCAGTATAAGACAAACCAAAATGGGGAAAAATGCTGAGGGCAGTATGATGTCTGACCCTAAAAAATCGTATGGATAAATTAGAAAAATCCAAAGACGAGCTAGAAAATAGCTACAAGAACTAAAAAATATTTACAAGGTGCTATCAAAAAAGACCCCGGACTCAAATTTTAACACACTTCTTGGGTGAAATATGTATGGCAACAGCATAGATTGCACTGCACAAAATGAAGTAGCATGGAGAGTTTCAGCGCAGTCAGTCATCCTGCTGAGGCTGGATGGGCATTTTTTGTTGTTTTCAGTGCATTGTGATTTTTTGTGCAACAGAATGGAATCTTTAAAAGAAGAGCATCCGTACATGCATGCGTTTGTGAAATTCTGCTTCAAGTTCAGTAAAACGACTAGTGAAACTCTCAAAATGCTTCAGCAAGCAGTTGGTGATGGAGCAATGAGTCAGGCACAGTGTTCTGGGTAGTTTTCTTGATTCAAAGCAGAACAAACATCAGCTAAGGATGAGGAGACACTGGTCACTTAACATCAAAAACAGACACCTACACTGAAAAAGTGAGGAAGGTTATTCATGAAGATCCTCGTCAGAGTATCTAGGACACTGCAAGTGCTGTGGGAATTTCTTATGGGTCTTGTCAAAGCATTTTGACTGAAAATTTGAACATGAGGTTAGTGGCTGTAAAATATGTGCCCTGCTTACTGACTCAAGACCAGAAACACCACTGTTTTCTAACCACAAAAAAACAAGGCAGTCATCCCCCACCCTCCATACTACCCAGAACTACCCTCTTGTGACTTCTTTCTGGCACTAAAGGGGCAGCATTTTTAACAGTGTGGAGGAGATTCACGCAGAACTGTAGACTGAGCTAGATACCTTTAGGAAAGAACAGTTCCAGAAATGTTTCGAGAAGTGGCAGAGGTGCTGGGATCAGTGTATAGCCTCACAGGGAGAGGAGACAACCTCAACTAAGTGATTAGGAAAGCCTATACATTTTTTTTTTTTTTTGCATTAGTCCGTGAACTTTTTTTTTTAAAGTACCTTGTGTTACAAAGAGTGAAAAACCTTAGATAAGCTCTTGTTATCTGATTGGAAGAAAAGGACAGATATGATAATCATAAACTGCATATGTAAGATTTACTAAGATTTCTTAGTAATATACCATCAACAGGAAAACAAATGAGCACCACTGTAAAGTGAATAACTGTCAATGCTGAAAGGCAACTAGAATACTCTTCTTGACAGAGTGAAAGAACAGTAGAATGGGTTATAAGAGGAGACAGTAAGTGCTACAACCACTGAAAATTTTAAAAAAAATCATATGATACATTAAATACTGCAGATGGGACACCACAAGTATAGCTCTCTTTCTGTAGCAACAAATACCTAACTTTACTTTCTTGCGCACACGAACACACGTGCACACGCACACACATGCACACATGCCACACGCACACACACACACACACACACACACACACACACACACACACACACACACACACACACACACACACACACACACACTCACACTCACACTCACACTCACACTCACACTCACACTCACACAATATTGAGTAATGCCTTTACAATTTACATTACCTCTTAAGCTAAATAAAATCATGCCTATCAGAAATATAATTAGAAGGTAATCCCATTGGTATGCTGAAGCCATTCACATTTGCTAAAACCCAGCCCTTTAAAACTAAGTCATTCTTACTGCTTCATTCCATGACACACTGTAACATGCATCTGATATTTATTTCCTGTGACATATACAACCTAAACCTTAAATAAGTCATGCAGATAAGTCAAGCACTGCCAACATTATTGTTGGAATTAAATATAATACCAAATTATTATTTAATAAATAGCGCCGGTATAACCTTAGAGATACCTATAAAAACTGACATATCTTCCTTGTAGTGAGAAAAATAAAGAAAGTAAAATCTAATCACTGATAAATGTGCAGAAGTAAAAGATCAAATAAATAATAACTCATGGAAGACTTGACTGCACCAACTACCATTAAGAACTACTGACTGATAATGACTACTAGTGTAATACACAACCTTCGAGATTTCAGTATATGATTAACCCCTCTTTTTAATTCACACAGCACCTTGATATAATAAACTAAATATTCTAATTTTAATTCTGTAGGTGTTCAAAACTTCATACCACATATATATAGAAAATATTGAAAATTTGGTATGTGTATTGGGTTATCATATCCTGAGAAGCTCAAGGTGAAGGTGATACTATTGATATACTTCTAAGATTAAATATGAACTAATCAATTATTCAAGATTCAACTTCTAAAAAATATAGTTTCAAATCATATCAATACACTAAATAGAGCAACTTGGTCTGATAAATTACAATGCCTAGCAAACTGGCCACATTAATTGACCATCATCTAGCCTGTGAAAAACTTTGAAAGAATTCCACCAAAACTAACCGTGGCCATCCCCAGATCCTGAAGTCTGTACTCCCTTGGCGTAGGTAACAGTTTCACGAGGAGGAATGTTCGTCGCTTGTACACTTACTACTGACAATTGTGGCTGCTTCTTGCTGTAAGGAAATTTTGAGTTAATTTAAATGCCAATATCAATACTATGCCATAAACATTTTTCAACACACAGGTAGTCTTCAAAAAGTCAAGGATGGTTAGGAGCATGTTGACCAAGAAAAAAAAAAAATATATGGATAAATGGTATTTACAGTGGGGTACAACAGTGACTGTAATTTATCTCATGTTGGACAAACATGTAAACACCCTGATGTTAGGTTAACAAAACACCAATACTCCATTCCAACAGCACAAGAATCTAATGCCATATTTAATCACATACAGGTATGCAATAACCCTGCAAAGTGGTCATAAGCCAGAATTTTAGTTCCTAGTTCATCTTGGCCAGAAAGAAATATTTTAGAATCATAAAACAAAACCAATCCCTATATAATAATGGCTTAGGACTGCTCAAACTAGATTAATTTATAATTGAAGTTATTGTACATAACCTTAAACTGGATTCTTTCACAAATGCTTTGGACTGTCTTAAATGCCATGATGCTACGTGGACTTACAGACGATAATTGGTTACTATAAGCTAAAATATGACGTTTCTAGCATTTGCTAGATCCGTCAGTCCTTATGTTAAACCACTGTCTCCTAGTGGGTTGTTTTGGGTCCTACTCATAGGTTATGGAGTTATAGCCACAGAAGTTAAGTCATGAGAATGCTTTTGGTGCCTTCCTGTTGATTCCCAAATCCCTTATGCTATTTTATACCCTATATGACTATTGTAAGCACATTTGGAAAAGAATTCATAATTGCATGTAAACAGTTGAATATGTGATGAGTCAGTTCCCAATACACTTTTTACTTGTTTATCCATCATCCATTTTCTTGAATTCCCATTCTCTGTGCAAGGCAACATTAACTGTTTCAGCCTGCTGCTGAGATATTATATATATATATATATATATATATATATATATATATATATATATATATATATATATATATATATATATATATATATTATATATATATATATAATCAACACACACACAACACACACACACACACACACACACACACACACATATATATAAAGATACACAACATATCCCTCCAAACTGCCAATATCCCAAACCCCTCCTTTAAAGTGCAGGCATTGTACTTCCCATTTCCAGGACTCAAGTCTGACTATATGAAAATAACCGGTTTCCCTGAATCCCTTCACTAAATATTACCCTGCTCACACTCCAACAGATCATCAGGTCCCAAGTATCATTCGTCAAAATTCACTCCTATCTAACACGCTCATGCACGCTTGCTGGAAGTCCAAGCCCCTCGCCCACAAAACCTCCTTTACCCCCTCTTTCCAACCCTTTCGAGGACGACCCCTACCCCTCCTTCCTTCCCCTATAGATTTATATGCTTTCCCTGTCATTCTTTGATCCATTCTCTCTAAATGACCAAACCACCTCAACAAACCCTCTTCTGCCCTCTGGCTAATGCTTTTATTAACTCCACACCTTCTCCTAATTTCCACACTCCGAATTTTCTGCATAATATTTACACCACACATTGCCCTTAGACAGGACATCTCCACTGCCTCCAAACGTCTCCTCACTGCTGCATTTACCACCCAAGCTTCACATCCATATAAGAGTGTTGGTACTACTATACTTTCATACATTCCCTTCTTTGCCTCCATAGATAACGTTTTTTGACTCCACATATACCTCAACGCACCACTCACCTTTTTTCCCTCATCAATTCTATGATTAACCTCATCCTTCATAAATCCATCCGCCGACACTTCAACTCCCAAGTATCTGAAAACATTCAATCCTTCCATACTCCTCCTCCCCAATTTGATATCCAATTTTTCTTTATCTAAATCATTTGATACCCTTATCACCTTACTCTTTTCTATGTTCACTTTCAACTTTCTACCTTTACACACATTCCCAAACTCATCCACTAACCTTTGCAATTTTTCTTTAGAATCTCCCATAAGCACAGTATCATCAGCAAAAAGTAACTGTGTCAATTCCCATTTTGAATTTGATTCCCCATAATTTAATCCCACCCTTCTCCCGAACACCCTAGCATTTACTTCTTTTACAACCCCATCTATAAATATATTAAACAACCATGGAGACATTACACATCCCTGTCGAAGACCTACTTTTACCGGGAAGTATTCTCCCTCTCTTCTACACACCCTAACCTGAGCCTCACTATCCTCATAAAAGCTCGTTACAGCATTTAGTAACTTACTACCTATTCCATATACTTGCAACATCTGCCACATTGCTCCTCTATCCACTATCATAGCCTTTTCTAAATCCATAAATGCAATAAAAACTTCCCCACCTTTATCTAAATACTGTTCACATATATGCTTCAATGTAAAAACTTTATCTACACATCCCTACCCCCTCTGAAGCCTCCCTGCTCATCGAATCCTACATTGTCTTACCTCTAATTCTTTCAATTATAACCTACCTTACTTTTCCTGGTATACTCAGTAAACTTATTCCTCTATAATTTTTACAATCTCTTTTGTCCCCTTTCCCTTTATATAAAGGGACTATACATGCTCTCTGCCAATCCCTAGGTACCCTCCCCTCTTTCATACATTTATTAAACAAAAGTACCAACCACTCCAACACTATATCCCCCCCTGCTTTTAACATTTCTGTCATGATCCCATCTGTTCCAGCTGCTTTAACCCCCCTTTATTCTATGTAATGCCTCACGTACCCCACCACACTTACATTCTGCTCTTCTTCACTCCTAAAAGATGGTATACCTCCCTGGCCAGTGCATGTTTAACTCACTCCAAAATTTTTTCTTTTCATTAAAATTTCTTGACAGTGCCTCTCCCACTCTTCATATATATATAAATTATATATATTATATATATATATATATTATTAAATTAACCCCTAAAATATCCATAATTTTTATAAATTACTTTTATAAAATTTTTATAATATTAAAAAATATATTTTTTAATTAATTCCCCAATAATTTCTTATTTTTACAATCCCTAACATCCAAATAATAATATTATATTATATAATATTTATTTTAAAATAATAATAAAATATTATCAACCTTTTAAAAATAAAATTATAATAAATTAAAAATTTTAATTTATAATAAATATATTTTAATTAATTTATATAAAATTAAAAAAATTTAATATAAATTTAAATAAAATATTAAAATTTTTTTTTTTTTTTTTTCAACAAGTCGGCCGTCTCCCCCGAGGGGGTGCCCCCAAAAAAAAAAAAAAAAAAAACCCCCCAAAAAAAAAAATATTTCATCATCATTCAAACTTTCACCACACTCAAAATTATCACTGCTTTGCAGAGGTGCTCAGAAAAACAGTTTTGAAGCTATATGTATTTAGAGTACACAAAATACCCCCAAAAATGCCAAATCCCAACCCCTCCCTTTAAAGTGCAGGCATTGTACTTCCCATTTCAGGACTCAAGTCCGACTATATGAAAATAACCGGTTTCCCTGAATCCCTTCACTAAATATTACCCTGCTCACACTCCAACAGATCGTCAGGTCCCAAGTATCATTCGTCTCCATTCACTCCTATCTAACACGCTCACGCACGCTTGCTGGAAGTCCAAGCCCCTCACCCACAAAACCTCCTTTACCCCCTCTTTCCAACCCTTTCGAGGACGACCCCCTACCCCTCTTTCCTTCCCCTATAGATTTATATGCTTTCCATGTCATTCTACTTTGATCCATTCTCTCTAAATGACCAAACCACCTCAACAACCCCTCTTCTGCCCTCTGACTAATGCTTTTATTAACTCCACACCTTCTCCTAATTTCCACACTCCGAATTTTCTGCATAATATTTACACCACACATTGCCCTTAGACAGGACATCTCCACTGCCTCCAACCGTCTCCTCGCTGCTGCATTTACCACCCAAGCTTCACATCCATATAAGAGTGTTGGTACTACTATACTTTCATACATTCCCTTCTTTGCCTCCATAGATAACGTTTTTTGACTCCACATATACCTCAACGCACCACTCACCTTTTTTCCCTCATCAATGGGGTTGTAAAGGAAGTAAATGCTAGGGTGTTCGGGAGAGGGGTGGGATTAAATTTTGGGGAATCAAATTCAAAATGGGAATTGACACAGTTACTTTTTGCTGATGATACTGTGCTTATGGGAGATTCTAAAGAAAAATTGCAAAGGTTAGTGGATGAGTTTGGGAATGTGTGTAAAGGTAGAAAGCTGAAAGTGAACATAGAAAAGAGTAAGGTGATGAGGGTGTCAAATGATTTAGATAAAGAAAAATTGGATATCAAATTGGAGAGGAGGAGTATGGAAGAAGTAAATGTTTTCAGATACTTGGGAGTTGACGTGTCGGCGGATGGATTTATGAAGGATGAGGTTAATCATAGAATTGATGAGGGAAAAAAGGTGAGTGGTGCGTTGAGGTATAATGTGGAGTCAAAAAACGTTATCTATGGAGGCAAAGAAGGGAATGTATGAAAGTATAGTAGTGCCAACACTTTTATATGGGTGTGAAGCTTGGGTGGTAAATGCAGCAGTGAGAGACGTTTGGAGGCAGTGGAGATGTCCTGTTTAAGGCAATGTGTGGTGTAAATATTATGCAGAAAATTCGGAGTTTGGAAATTAGGAGAAGGGTGGATTTAATAAAAGTAAATTAGTCAGGGGGCAGAAGAGGGGTTGTTGAGGTGGTTTGGTCTTTTAGAGAGAAGGGATCAAAGTAGAATGACATGGAAAGCATATAAATCTATGGGGGAAGGAAGGCGGGGTAGGGGTCGTCCTAGAAAGGGTTGGAGAGGGGGGGTAAAGGAGGTTTTGGGGGCGAGGGCTTGGACTTCCAAAGCAAGCGTGCGTGAGCGTGTTAGATAGGAGTGAATGGAGACGAATGGTACTTGGGACCTGACGATCTGTTGGAGTGTGAGCAGGGTAACATTTAGTGAAGGGATTCAGGAAACCGGTTATTTTCATATAGTCGGACTTGAGTCCTGGGAAATGGGAA